GTGACAAAGGCATTTGAGTAATAAAATACCAATAAATTATTAATTAATTTAATTCAGTCTCCGCATGAGTTTTAATCAGTCTATTATGAGGAATATTAGCACAAATAATCAGGTTTTTTTCTAGAAACCTAAGAGTTCTACCAAATTTACTAAACCGAATTATTAGGCGAGTCACAGAATTAGATGAGTTCACTATACCTATGTGAGTGCCTACTTTTAAGTAAAACTCAATACTTGAATACTGAAAAGTTTATTCTAAACGGATCTTATAGGAGGCTTTAGAACAAGTCTGTTTCACGTTTAAGTTAATCGAAACGAGTACGTGTTCGGCGCTCTGATTGGCCAGCTCCAATGAACTAACCAATCGGAGCGCCGAAGGCAGTCTCGTTTCGGTTAACGCAAAATAAACTCGTAGGTACTAAGGACTCAGAACACAGCGTGATGCTCGTCAAACTTCCCACCAGAATCGCGCGTTACCACTCTTTGCGCGAGAAATGTTTCTAATCTGTCACATTTGACAGATGACATCGTCAACATTACAGCTAGTGCTGTCGATAATACAGATTAAACTAGTGACGTTCATTTAGTTGATTTTCGTCGTCTAATTCTACTTACATATTATAATCTTCTAATATATAAAAATAAGTCGGGTTTTCCATCCTGACGCTAATGCTATAACTCCAGAACGCACGAACCGATTTCCACGTTTTGTATTCGTTGGAAAGTTCTCGGCTCGGGCTCCGTGAGGTTTATAAAATATAAAACAAAAAAATCTGCATCTTTTAATCACCAAACGAAATATTACATAAAACGAAGCCATCTGGTGGCGAAACGGAGTTCACCGGGTTTACTAGTTGACTATAAAACTAAAGCTATAAAAACGAGTAACTACACAGCAAAATACTAGTTTAACTAAATGGCTACGTGAGGAGATTAATAATAAATAAAACGTACAATTGTATTACGGTATTAGCATAAGTATTGCTAAGTACTTACATTTTATATACTTGACTGTTTTTACCGTTTATCTGTGTATCTGGGTGGTCTCTATAGAAACAAGGAAGACTTTCTTCACTTCCAAAGTCTAGACTTTCCGAAGTATCTACCTATTTCTGAATTAACAACATCGTCATTTCATCATCAGCTGTTACTGATGGCTACGTCTGGACCATCAACCTTCTTTTGATAGAACCCAACAAAAAAATAATTAGCCGTAGGTATCGATTCAGCTGTTTTCGAGATTTGCGCTTAGCAACACATTTGGCGATTTATTTTTGTATTATAGGTATTACCTATACGATTTTTTATCGGATAAGCCGGTAAACGATCAGACGGATCACTTGATGGTGAGCAACTGGTGCAGCGTCGCCCATTGACACCTGGAACACCTCCAGAGTCGTTACAAGTGCGTTAATTGGGCCTCCGGTAATCTCACTCAGAGGACAAAACATAATACAAGCGTTGTTTCACGTCGGTTTGCTTTGAGGTCGTGATATCACTCCGGTCAAGGATATTCGTGCGGAAGCATGGCTTTTTCACACTTGGAATTTCATCACGTTTGGATGGGTTGGAAATCACTTAGAAGTTTCAGATTTATAGGGAGAGAAGAGAGGGCTTCTTTGTGGGATCCTCAAATTGTTGTTCCGGGTCTGGGTGTCATGTCTATGGGAACTTGTAGATTTGTAAACGCACCCACGATACAGGAGAAAAACCTAGTGTTAAAAAGAAAGAAAAACTAAAGAATGAAGCCTCGCCGTTACCGCCCGGTATTCCTACATGACCATGGTATCATGATAGACGCACTCCATCAAAATATTCAACCGTTCATTTCCAATCTTAGATTAATCATTTTACTGAGTACCTGTGGTAATTTATCTCCTTATTATATCTGTAATTTCCTTATCCCTGTGGCTTACCACAAATGAGGTTCTAAAACGCTAGGGAACTTGATAAACCTTTCACTGTAGTTAGACACAGACAGCATATTACGGTATACTAAAATTAAAATTATAATTTTGACTTTGATAACAAAGTTATAAAGTTGAAAACTGATTAAAGAATTCTGATAGATTAGGGTAGCTTGATGCGCCGTTCTTAGGTTTAAGACTAGAGTTTTACGATCTCGTAATTTAGTTGCATTATGTGCTCGTGTTCTTAGCATAGAGTCTTGCATACGATCTCGGTTTCCTGGGTCTGATAATATTGGGTTTATGCCATACGGAGCCGCGGCGGACTTAGCGGGTTGCCGGGGCTCCAGCTCGAAGGGCAGGAGTAGGAACAGGGTGGTTTTTAGTCAGTAAGAGTGTGACACTCCCTCCCGCCTTACCCAGGCGGGAGAAGTCATTTGATGATTTTCCCCTCCATAAAAAAAGTGGTGGTGAAAATGTAGAATGCACTTATATCATCCCTGTTTTTATACGGGTGTCGTAATAACCGCCTAGGAGACTACACAATTGACAAACACCGCACAAAATTGTTCTCTATCGCAATCTGTAAGTTGTAAGCGTGGAGCTTCCTTGTGCGTACTGCTAAGGAGTGGAATTCTTTGCCAGAGTCTGTTTCAACCTGGGTGTCTTCAAAGCCCGAGTGAATAGGTTGCTTATGCGTTAACGTCTTCCATCGTAGACCGCATCATCGCTTACCACCAGGCGAGATAGTGGTCAACCGTCGGCCCTAAATCACTATCGTACTACATAGTATAAAACAAAGTCTATCCGCCGTCGGTTTGTCCCTATGTATGCTTAGATCTTTAAAACTAGGCAACGGATTTTGATGCGGTTTTTTTAATAGATAGAGGGAAGGAAGGTTTATATGTATAATACATGCATATTGCACCCGTGCGAAGCCGAGGCGGGTAGCTAGTTAAATATAAAAAAGAATGTTTTGGCATACCTTGTCTCATATAGAGAAGTCCATAGCCCAGTAGTGAGTCACGATTTGTTGAATAGAGGTACAATATCAACATAAATCCGTTATCAAATCGATAACCACAAATAAAATAAAACAAAACCAGCTTAACCTATAACACGCCTGCCATAATTAAATAGCAATCATTAGCATTCTTACCACTAATGTCATACATTTAGGAACTACAATAATTTATTATTATTACAATTTAATTTGGTATTCGGTATTAGGAGGCCGACTTAGGTGCCCTAAATAGCAGCTAGACAGCAAGAAAGTAGCTGCGGCACGGTTGATGTCATGTTAGGCACTAAGGCTGCCGATTGGGTGAATTGGAATTGGTGTAGGGCGACTGTGACTTTTTATTTGATAGGATAAAATTGGATACTTACTAAGGGACTCCTGTGATGTTCAGGTAGTGATTGATACTTTACCATCAGGAACAGGTTATTCATCTACTCGTTGGAGTTCATGTTCTATTCAAGTACCTACATGTTTTCAGCAGGGCAAACCCAAATAAATTGTGATTTGAAGAGTGTTAACGAATTGTACTTGTTAATAAAATGAAAATATGAAGTCGTACGATTAAAAAACATGTAAAAATTTAACGCTTAAATGAAACACATTTATTATGTAATCCACCACAAAAAGTGAGACCTAATTCAGAAAAAGAACATTTTAAAAACTTTTAAATAATAACACAAAAGAGATTTGGGTACGTTTTGTCTCTCTTTTATTATAAAAATCACACACACCACAAGAATTTCCATATTCAAATTCAAAGTGCGCGGTATCGTCCAAATCTAACCGATTTTTGGCTACCGAATATGAGTCATAGCATCCATGTCATCAGATATTTAACTCACACGTTGCTGTTCGTTGCGATGTCCCGCATAGAGGCGTGAACGAATTACTAATTACTGTTAAATTGTATGGGATCTAACTACGGCACTGAGAGGCCCTTAGGGATATTTTATTGGCGGGAATTCCGTTGATCGAAGCGACAGTTAAAAATGTTTAACTGTCAAAAAATAGACCACACGTTTGAAGTCACAATTTTCTTCGTGTTTCGTCGATTTAAGTTTGGTTTGTTTTCCTCTAGAAAATTATTAATCTTTGCTGAAAACATTGAATGAAAATGTTAAATCAATACCTAATATTTAACGCAAGGTCTATCTTAATTAAGTTTAAAAAAACTGTCATGAAAACTCCAAAATAAGTTCCTAGGTAAGTACCTACTGCAATTTTTCGCAGTTCATAACTCATCGGATTCCTTTTACAATCAAATTTAGCAGATATTTAGGATTTCATCCATTGATCAAATTCCTAATCCCCAAAAGGCCGGTAACGCACTCGTAACGCCTTTAATGTTCCAGGACTTCCATTCCATGGACGACGCCGATTGCTTACCATCAGTCTGATCTGTCTGCTCGTTTACCAACTTATCCCACAAAAAAAAAGAAATTAATATTTTTTTTATCATTTAATTGCGCACAAGCGAAAAATGTCCCATAACAACGTCCGACTATGCTTATTTGCTAAGAGCTCAACATATTGGTTGTTCAGCTCAGCCCATACAAACTGGCAACATGTCGGTATATTGTTATTTTTAGAGCAATTTGTTATTTTAAAAATTTGTAACGAAACAAACAGTATCACATTAAGCACCAATAAGCCTAAGCTAGCTCCATCTCTTATAAAATCAACTAATCACATCGTGGAGACCAAAATCAAAGAAAATATTATTACCTATGCAAATTGATTACACATTTAGCATCATTTTAGTGAATGATCAATATGATCATTCACTAAAACGATATATCTAGCAAAATTCGTTACTTATTTTTATCAACACATCATTTTGTATTTGAATAATGATTTAAAAACTAAATGACGAATTTATTATTAACGCGACGCAATAACAAAATGTAAATTCGCAGATCGTTAGTGACATCTGTCACTTTGACGTTTCCTTGTTTTGCAATCTCTGCTTTGATTTTGGACTTTGTTCGATTCGATTGTTTTTGTTTTCATTTAGTACTTTAGCAGTCCTAGTTTGCGGTTGTGTCCACTTAATTAACTCAAAATTAAGAAAAATGTCTGCATTTATCAAAACAATTGCTTTTAACAATCCCAGGAAACTAATTTCTAGTAAGTAATCAATAGCATACTTTTATAGTTATCTAACATTTTGTTATGATAAATTTACACGTATTTGTCGCATTTAATTAATTAAAACTTTGGTTTCTAGTACTCCATTAGTTAATATTTGATCGTAAAAATGGTTAACATTAGCTATAATATAGAAAAACATTGTATTTTCAGAGATTTGATTCAATAAAAACTGTGTCTGTTATAAGTATGTTTCTCCGGCATATCGGCTTTAGAGGTACAGTTAGAGTGGACTTTGGACTTTGATAAAGCTATTTCTGATTTTATTACAGTCCGAAGTCCAAGACCAACAGAATAAATAATGTTATCTCGAAATTGAGGTTTTAATTTTAAATGTAAAATGAGAAAAGAATCTTGAAAATTGTAATAGAAAAACATGTTTTTTTGGACTTATTTTGTATTATTTATCATTTAGATTTATCCTTATTATAATTCTGAAATTGGTAAACAGGTTTTTCATGAAGATTAATTGTTAAATAAATCATCTATAATTCTGAGTTTTTAAGCAAACAAAACAAATATTTATTTTCCTATTAAAACAAAAATCCAGTACTCCTGTTTCATTATATTTATCTAAAATAATTAGATTTTGATGCAAATATTAGATAAAATTTACAGATGTCTTTTTTATTATAATCTTTAATGGTCATATTAATAAAAATCATAATGCGAGAATGTTGTTCAACTTCATGGCTTTGCTTCAATGATCTCTAAGTAATTTATACACTTATTAGGCTACAATGGGACTGACATACTCTGTGCGGTATAAAGTCCCTAAAATGAAAAGGGAATAAAAAACATTCGGAGACCTTAACTTACTACTACTACCTTAATTTCTGACTATAAGTTTGAAATCACTAATCCACCTGGAGCAAGCCTACTGATTAATGCTCTTTTCTTCTGCGTGTGAGAAGAGACCATTGCTCAGCAGTGGGCACTTAAAAGCTGTTGATTATGATGATGATGTTGATGTTGACTGTATGATATGATTTCCTTTCTTAATTTCAGACGTATTTATCCGAACATTCACAAAAGCAGAACTACCGCAGTTTGAAACTCTAGCCGTGTCTGTTCCGAAGAAACATGTCTATCATGTGGAGCTGAACAGGCCTAAGAAGTCTAACTCTTTCACTAGGACTATGTGGCAGTAAGTATTATATTATGTTATGATCAAAGAACAGTGCTCTGCAGCTCTGTGTAAGCGGACTTCCCATAAATATATTTTTAATGTGTCTGTAACCATATTTTCTAGAAAAAAAGAAAGAAGAAGAAAGAAAAATAATTTATTCGCCACCAGACATGGACCACCGAATATTAACACATGAAATAAATATTAAAAAACAAAAATAAAAAACACTTCTACATTTTTTTCTTTAATAACGTTGCCCCACACTAGTAACTACCTGCTCCCTGGCAAATGCGTAGATCCTTATTTGATTGTAGATTCTTAAAATACAGCACCCGGGGTAAAAGTAAGTTTTTTAGGACTGGTTTTTACCGCCCGGTTGAGGTGAGAGGGAGTGTCAGACTCTTACTGACTAAAAACCATCTTGTTCCTACTCCTGAACCTCGAACGCCGGTAACTCGTTAAGTCTCCGCGGTTTAACCCGTTAAGACGGTTTAGGGACAAATATATTTGACTGGTGTTGCAGGTGTCCATGGGTGGCGGTAATCGAGCGGACTAGCAGCGTAATTCTACCATCGGGCAAAGAGTCCACTCATTTACCCTGTATCTATACCTACTATTAAAATATATTCAACATCATTCATGACATCACTTATATTGATTGTATAATATAACACTCAATCATGTCTGTTATAATGGTTTTCTATATGCTTTCAGAGAAATAAATAACTGCTTCACGACACTGAGCTTGATTCCGGAATGCAGAGTGATTGTGGTGTCTGGGCAGGGCAAACATTTCTGTGGTGGTGAGTGGTCTTCAATTTAAATCTATAACTACAATTTAATCAACAAAAAAATTAGTTACACTGCTACAAATAGATGTAGTAGAGTCATATGTATTTTAAGTGTAGGAGAGCCATGCTTCGGCACTGCTGGGCCGGCTCGACCGTAGCGATACCACGGCCTCACAGAAAACCGACGTGAAACAACACTTGCGTTGTGTTTCTTTCTTGTGAGTGAGGTCACCGGAGGCCAAATTACCCCCCTCCCTAATCTCCCCAACCCCCGAATCCTCAATATTCCTCATATTCCTTATCCCCAAAAGGCCGTTACACCTCTGATGTTCCCTAAGTCTATGGGCGGCGCTGATTGCTTTTCATCAGGTGATCCGTCTGCTCGTTTACCGATTTATTCCATCCAGGTCCACATCATCGCTTAACACCAGGCGAGATGGTGGTCAAACGTCGACCTATGAAGTATATTAAAAAAAATAGACAAATTTTTATTATTTCTTTATTCATGTACACCACATAGACAATACACAGAAGAAAAAAATATATATAACAAAACAGAGGTACATAGGTACTGCATATCCCTTATGGGATTTCTTCCTGCAGTCCTGTGAGAGGAGAAATAAATACATCAAGATCTTTGTGTGACCCACAAATTATTGTTCAAGGTCTATCCTCATTCCTCAATATTTACTCCATTAATAACAAATATAATTTAATATTTCAGGTATTGAGTTGCAGAGCTTGGTACAGCTAGCTGCTGAGGCTGATGAACTAGAAGATGTGGCGAGGAAAGCTCGCTACCATTACAACTTCATCAAATATGCTCAGGTATAGACTAGTACTACACTAGACTACTAGATAACTATTGCACACCTCTGAGTTTGTTTCAGCATTTCTTCTCAGAGTAGTCAGTTATGTTGTCAGTTTTTTTTTTTTTAAATAAGTTTTACTCTTCTGGTTCGTTGTATATGTTTTGTTCCAGTTTTATTGTTTGATTGCTTATTTTATTAATGTGTCCAGTTACTTTAATTGGTTTTTGTTCTCAACCGTTGTAACTGTAATAAATAAATAAATAAATCGTTCGCTTGAAAAACTGACGTGTTAGTGAAGAAATACCGTTCTTTTGTAGCAAAGTAAAATACCCATTGTTTTTAAAGGGGGAATCATCCAATGGCTTCTCCCATCGTGGGTTAGGCGAGAGTGTCAGACTCTTACTGACTTCAAACCAACCCGTTCCTACTGCTGCACTTCGAGCCAGAGCCCCGGAAACCATTTGCTTTACGTTAAAAAAAGAAAAGTGTATTTTATTCTTCGTAGAAGGGAACGGGATGGTTTTTAGTCTGTACAGTAAGAGTCTTACACTCTCGCCTAACCCAAGATGGGAGAAGCCATTGGATGATTTCCCCCTTCAAAAAAATGGGTATTTTACTCTGCTATAAAAGAATGGTATTTCTTCACTAATAACATGATTGACATGGAATACTTGATATTTCAGGAAACAATATCTTCGCTAGAGGAGTGTGTGAAGCCCGTGATCACAGTGACCCACAACGCCTGCATCGGCGCCGGGGTCAACTTGATCACTGCTGCCGATATGAGGTGAGACAGGTTACCAACAAAATATTTACTTAACTATTTACTACTATGACAATAAATCTGACTTTTTTGTTGGATAGCGGTTGCTCAACGACCTGATGGTAAGCAATCAGCGTCGCCCATGAATACCAGAGCCGTTACAAGTGCGTTATCCGCCTTTTGGCATTTGGGAATTTGAGGATTGTGGGGATTCGGGGATTGTGGAGAATCCGTACCGAAGCATTGCTTTTCCATACTTTTTAAAAGGCTTACGGCAGATCTTATTGAAAAATTTTTGGACAGTGCATCGATTTAGGTTTCTGACAACAACTCTCTAGAACTCCCCGAAGGGGTAGGCAGAGGTGCACATTACGGCCAGTAATACTTTGTGTACAGTAATACCCGAAACCACTATGCCGACAGTCGCACTTGCGACAACTCGGTCAACGAGGAAAATTTGCCACTTAAGTTTTTGATAGATATTTTGTCACTCTGAAACGGTCTATAATCCAGTTTCTAATATATCTAACAAGTGTGGGAGAGCCATGCTTCGGCACTGCTGGGCCGGCCCGACCGGAGTGATACCACGGCCGAGCAGAAAACCGACGTGAAGCAACGCTTGCGTTACGTTTCGTCGTGTGAGTGAGGTTACCGGAGGCCTAATTACCCTCCCCTTCCCCAATCTCCCCAATCCCTGAATCCCCAACGATCCTCAAACTCCTAATCCCCAAAAAGCCAATAACGCATTAGTGTTCCAGGTGTCCATGGGCGACGCCGATTGCTTACCATCAGGTGATCCGTCTGCTCGTTTAACGGCTTATGACATAAAAAAAATATCCTTCTACATAAAGTACTGTATGTCCACAGATACTGCACAGAGGACTGTTGGTTCTCAGTGCGAGAGGTGGATGTCGGTCTTGCACCCGATGTAGGCACTCTACAGAGACTACCTAAGGTAAATAAAAATAAAAAAAATATATATAAAATATTACGAACCAGTCCCATGCAGGTTACTCACGTGAATATACTGAGACAAGCTCTACTAGTTTCGAACCACAGAGGGGTTCTTCCTCATAAGCAGCGTGCACGGTCGCGGCGATGGCTCGCATCCTACTGCACGCTGCTCATGAGGAAGAACCCCTCTGTGGTTCGAAACTAGTAGAGCTTTTCTCAGTATATTCATGTGAGTAACCTGCAATTTTTAGTTAATTTAGTATGTCTCACGATAGTTGTCTATATATATAAAAGAAAGTCGTGTTAGTTACACTATTTATATCTCAAGAACGCCTCAATCGATTTAGATGAAAATTGGCGGGGTGGTAGCTTAGAACCAGGAGACGGACATAGGATACTTTTTATAGAATACGAACCAAGTAACCAATAGTTTTTTTTTTACTTTTTACCGAAAATCACGAACGGAAACGGGGGGAAAATGGAAAATGGGATTGCGCGTACGAAGTCGCGGGCAGAAGCTAGTTATAAAAACAGTCGCATGCATTTCAATTATCATTTTTATTGAAACTTGAACTAACTACAAAGATATCTAGTACCATATGGTTCCGAAGTATAAAAAACCATTAATTTAATTTTCATGTTAACTTCCAATATAACATTCTGCTATGCTATGCATGCCAAGTCTTTTTTTAATGGGACAAGCCCGCCACAACCTCCCAAAACCGCTGCAACTCCTGCAAGCCAGGATCTACAGTAGATACAACCATGAAAACACCGGAACACTGAAGTCCAACGTCTTAGGGATATGAATAACTGTCTTGGTTCCCGCAACAAAGTGAATCAGGAGATATTATAAGAGTATAAAAAAAATACGATAGTTTCCACTTCCCTCGGTGAATTTCTGCAGGAGACAGAATGAATTAAGCCTAAAGGCACAAAAAGAGACTGTACAACTGGGTGAAGCCCAGTCGCCAAGCACCACGGAAATTTGACTAAAAACTAAGTGGGTCCTATGTGTAAGCTGTTATACTTGCTTCCAATAATAGGTATGGCAAAAGCGCCTAAACGTACGGAAAATTGTTCTAGATTCCACAAGGTCCGTATAATAAGCTATACTTTAGTGAATTGCTGTAGGAGACAGCAACTGGGAGAAGCCTAGTCGCTCAGGCAGGCAAGTCTGTGATATTTGGACGTCTGATCATATTATGTGTTGTTTATTTTACAGATAGTGGGTAACGCGTCAGTGGCCAGAGAGCTTTGTTTCACCGGCAGAAACTTCGACGCTAAAGAGGCGAAAGAAATTGGTCTAGTCAGTGAGATTTTCCCTGATAAGGAAACGTGAGTGAATAATATTAACCCGTCGAGCGTCCGCGTTCCTTATGATCCAACGGGTGCCCACGTGACATTTGGAGAAAGAAAGAAAGAAAGAAAATACATTTATTTATTTATTTGGCCATTGGCACACGAAAACAAGGATCATAAGGAAATAAAACAAATACAGTCAAAATAAAAACAAAACATTAATAATACATTTTATAAAAGAGAAAGCAGCATGGAGCATTTTTCTTATGATCCACCGGGTGCTCATAAGGACGCTCGAGGGGCTAATGGTAACCTTTTATACAACGAAAAAATCGAACTGAAACGAAAATAGTGACATCTCTTTCGTTTTCGTTCCGAAGTAAATGGTTCTGTCTCAGTTATACTTACAATAGTTTTATAAAGAAACAAAAGGTTTAAAATCAAAAATAACTGGTGGACCAATACAAAAAATAAACTTTGAAAGCGCATACGAACTCATAGTACGTTATCAAAACATCACGCCATGTAATTCTCGTCGGGTGGCACGTGCGATGCGAACAGTGCCTACAAATTTACGTCTAGTGATTCCCATGAAAAAAAATGTTAACTAATATAAGAAAAATACATTTTTATTTATGTATAAAGTAAAAAACTTTATACATCAAAAGTACTTCTTATGGCAAATGCCGTGGGATGAAAACGAAATAGATTTCACGGTCTATGTTGCACCAATATGATGTTGAGTTATTAGTACATTATATACAATATCTATCTTTAGGCAGAAGTGCACATTACGGCACTTAATGCCACTGTACAATGTAACACCCACTTTTCACTATTTATGTTATGAGTCCCATGTAATAGGGGGTGAGCCTATTGCCATATACCGGGCACAATTAGGATGATGACAGTTAAATACTTAGATTAAACAAATCAAAGTTTAGGAGTGGGGGCTAAACGTCATTTCTACGTATAAAGTGTACATAGAAGTGACGTCACGCGACATTTCAAATCAATATACCGTCGAAAGTATTCGTTTCTGTAAGAAAATAAAAATACGTGTCTAATGATTTAAAATAATCTACCAGACTGAGATTACAATAAAAATTAGGCATCTACTCTATTCCAGTCTCCGTGCTACTACTGGGATTTTTTTAAAACCCAGTAAAGCTTTGCCCGGAAACGAACCCGGGAATAATTTATGATGATCATCTTTTTATACATAATTCTTCTGTGAGTGTGTATGTCACTGAACTTCTCTCAAACGACTGGACCGATTTTGATGAAATTTATTGTGTGTGTTCAAGGGGATCTGGGAATGGTTTAGATTCACAAATCAGCCCGGCAGATGGCGCTGCAGTCGATGTTTAGGTTATTTATCCTAAACAGCTGAACTAATTTGAATGAATTTTTGTTTATACATACATTCAAGTGGATATGCAGGACAACGTCTGTCCGCTAGTAATATATATTAATCTGTTACAGTGCCCTGACGAAAGTGCTTGAGATAGCTGAAAACATAGCGGCCAAGAGTCCCGTAGCGGTGCAGACTACTAAGATCAACCTCGTCTACTCACAGAGTAGACCTAATAAGGACGGGTTGGAACATGTTGTGAGTATTATTTATTTGTTACTAGCTTTCACCCGCGGCTTCGCTCGCGTCACAAAAGGATAAAAAGTAGCCTATGTGACATATACCAATACACACAGCGCCATCTATACCAATACTTTTGGTTTTCCACGGAAATATCAAATTTTTCCGGGGAAAAAGTACCCTATTATTTAATCCGGACTTCTAACTTTATGTCTGCAAAAATTCAAAGCAATCGGTTTAGTAGTTACGGCGTGAAGGTGGAAAAAACAAACAAACTATACAACTAATATTAGTAAGGATTTTTGTAAAGTAAGGGGGATGAGCAGAAATGTATAATTGTTTACTAAGTAATACCCACTTTTCATGGACGAATTTGAAAAATAGATATGAGTAAATTGGTCGTTATTCTCAATCCCAAACCAATCAGTTGCCAACCACCGCGCCAATCGTGTTGTCCGTTGCCGGTGTAGTTGGGTTCGGCTTCGGCAATTGACTGTAGCGCAACGTATTGCGGGTTCGATTCCGGCACGGAACATTGTGTGATCCACAGATTGTTGTTCCTGGTCTGGGTGTCATGTGTATGTGAACTTGTATGATTGTAAACGCACACACGACACAGGAGAAAATACTGTTAAAAAAAATCAAACCAGAACTTTCGACCCGTGCTAACATACTGAGATTTTTTGCAAAACCGAAAATGTGTCAATAGTACTTTGGCTAATCGAGTAATCTAACCTGATACCTTTAGCGCTTGCAGCCAGTCTGCTAAATAGGTGTCTGTCAAATGTGCAGGCCCCTTGTCTAGTCTTATGATACCCGCGGTAAGAGTGGGAGTGGTTAATAGTCAAAGTCAAAATCATTTACTTCAATTACACCAAAAAGGCACTTCAACATAATATTCAAAGTGAAGCTATTTGCTCATTCCAAGGTGTAGGTAGATTCCTATGGAGAAGAACCAGCAAGAAACTCCATAGGTTACTCTTTTTCAATCAAGTTCACAATACAATTCTCTAGTTACATAGTTTTGTTTGTTCGTTATAATTGAATGATGAATAATACTTTATTATACTCCGTAGTCAGAACAGAATTTACGTAAGTCCCCGGAACCACGCTATCACTGAATATCGTTTTAATTATTATGTTTTCGGCTTACTCTCGTAACTGTTTGACCAGCAACTCGACTAGTTTCAAGCCATGCTAGAGACTCATATTCATGAGCAGCATTCCGCGACCTCCGACGCGGTGACTGTCGTGAGGCGCCGCGTAAAAGGTCTCGGCATAATACGTCTAACGAAAGTTTTAATATAAATATCGTTTTAATTCTATTATTTTTTTGTTACAGCGTCTCCTAAACTCAGTGATGAATCAAGGCGAAGATTTGACGAAGGCGGCTATAGCTCAAGCCACCAAGAGCCCCGTACCAGAGTTCGATAATGTTTAAACTAAAAACAATTCGGGGACAGGGACGTTATATTATCGGATAAGGATTTTATGTATCGGTACATCTGAACTTTATAACTACTTTTCTACGTTTATACAATTAAATATAAACACAAGGACAATGAAAACGAGGCGGACGTAATGTCACTAGAAATTATTGAAACAACACTTAAGTGTGGGAGAGCCATGCTTCGGCACAAATGGGCCGGGTCGACCGAAGTGATACCACGGCCGAGCAGAATACCGACGTGAAGCAACGCTTGCGTTGTGTTTCGTCGTGTGAGTGACGTAACCGGAGGCCCAATAACCCCAATCTCCGAATCCTTAACCCTCAATCCCCAAAAGGCCGGTAACACACTTGTAACGACCATGAGCGACGCCGATTGCTTACCATCAAGTGATCCATAAGCTCGTTTACCGGCTTACCTCATAAACAAATTTCATTAGCTAATTATTATGATTTCGGCTTACATATACATAACTGTGACGAGAAACTCGACTAATAAGACTAGACATAATAATTAATTGAGTATGTCTCACGAAAGTTATTATATATTATGTCAGTGTTGTATTTATGTGTGCGTGTATAATGAGTTACCACGTTAGTAGACTGAAGAAAATGACAGATGTCCTTCGTGTCAATGTGTTTATGTTCTGCGTCTATATTGTGTAAAGACTGTGTCAGCCTTATTTTCAAACGTCTTTCTATAAATCTATCAAATAGTTTTGTATGAAAAAGTTTACATTGGTTTATGAAGAAAGAGCATATAACTTTATATGTAACTTAAAACATTATGGTTTTATAAAGTGCAAATATTTTATCATCATCATCAACAGCCTATAAGTGGCCACTGCTGAGCAAAGCCTCTTCTCACACGGAGAAGGTTTGAGCTTTAATCACCACGCTTGCTCAATGCGGGTTGGCTCACAAACTTATATTTAGAAATTATAAGTCCAGGTATCTATGTTTTCCACCGCCGTTTGTCAGTGGTGTCTAGATTATCTTATAAAATAAATAATAAGTTTACTGGCTTATGCCATAAAAAAACGTTTAACCACTGTCCAGTTTTTTCTTTTTCTTAACAATATTTGGTTAACTTTATTACTTACATTGATTTTATAAACCTACCTCAAAAATATGCGTATCCTATGTCCAGCAATGAATTGTCTCGAGATTCTACTCTATACCAGTATAAAATAAGGTGCAAATTGCATTATAATTGTATTTTATATATTAAGTTACATATTTTTGAAATGTATTCCTTGTTGTTAACTTTTATATCAAAGTATTATACAATAAAATGTTTATTTATATTGTGCTTGTTTTATTAAATTAATCGCTGAATGTGTTACTAACTTGTTAAGCGCAAATCTCTAAAACAGTTGAACCGATTTTGGTAATTCTTCTTTTGTTAGAAGGTTCTTGAGTTAGAAGAAAATTTTCTAAGGCAAAACTATAATCGCGAGATCCTCTAGTATTTGAATAAAATCCATACATTGAAAATAACAATGAACAAGTCAAGAACCGAATTATAACTATTTAAAAATAAGATATATTATAATCATCATAACAACTTTTTACCTTTATTTATTTATTTATCATTTATATACACACATACAACACAAAGGACGATACTTATATAAACGAGGTACTAAAGTCCCACATATTCCAACTGGAATTTCTTCCTGTGGGCCATCTTTGATCTGAAGCAGAAATCAGTGCTGCAAAAAATTGACGTGTATATTTATTTAATTACTTTTCGAGTTATGTCAAAAGTCCTTTAAAATAGCGCTATTATCTGTGGCTACAGGGTGGCAAATCGACAAAATACCACGGGTCCCCAGCTGGAAAGGCCAGCCCTTGGTACAGAGGTTTTTATCTGAACTTCTCTATTTTTTATTAGGGACGGGGTCGTACGGCCCATCTGATGATTTTTTCCTAGACACCGAACTATTTTTTTAAACGTTACCCCACACTAGTATTTTCTCCTGTACCGTGGGTACGTTTACAAACCTACAAGTTCACATACGCATGACAACCAAACCCGAAACAACAATCTGTGGATCACACAAAGAGTTGTTCCGTGCGGGAATCGAACCTGCGACACGTTGCGCGGCAGTCAGTTGCCCAGCCACCGCACTAACCGTCCAGTTTCATCTGAACTTTTCTGTTTTTTATTAGGAATAGGGTCGTTCGGCCCATCTGATGAATTTTCCCTAGAAACCGCACGGTACCTATTGGTATACCACTGGTTATTTCATATTGCAAAATTTTCAGTTACTGCAGCCAATTGTTTCTGGCAGACCACTCCAGGTTCTAGCTCCGTCCTACAGGATACATAACATCCGTCTTTTATCCCCGAATAAGGCAGAGGTGCACACAGAAGTAACACCCACTTTTCACTATTTATGTTATGAGTTCTCACATATACGTACAATATTGGAATATGTATCAGAGACATTGTAGAATATACTTTTTTAAAAAGAGTAACGAATGGAGTTTCTTGCTCGTTCTTCTCCATTCGAATCTACATTTTGGAATGAGCACCTAGCTTCACTGACGGACTGACTGACAGACTATTATTTATTTTGTATTTATTGACGTTTCAAAAGTACCAAATTATACTTTTTGAAATCACTCATAAGGGACTCATAACATAAATAGTTAAAGTAGGTGTTACATTGTACAGTGGCGTAATGTATATCTCTGCCTACCCCTTCGGGGATAAAAAGGCGTGATGTTATGTTATACATATTATGAAATAAATGCTTTGACTTTGACTTTTGAGTCCCATGTAATAGGGGGTGAGCCTATTGCCATATACACATTTCCAGACTCCGTGCTACTACTAATTTTTTTTTTAAACCCAGCAATTAATTTTTTGCCCGACCCGGAATTCGAACCCCTTGCCCGGCAGTCGCACTTGACCACTCGGCCATCGAGGCAGTCCTACAGGATAACATCTAAGAATTTTCTCTTACCCTTAAGGGTAGAGGCTACTGGGAACAATCTACTGATTCCAGCATCGCATCGCATCGACGTCATAACCTGACGTCAGTGGGGGTCAGGTCATTGACTCCAATAGGTTACGTATTTTATTTAGGTCAACATAATGCTGCGAATTTCCGAATAAAAAAATCACATGCATCACATGCGATTGCGATTTAAATGCTATTTATTTAGAACTAGCTTTTACCCGCGGCTTCGCTCGCGTCACAAAAGCATAAAAAGTAGCCTATGTGACATATATCAATACATACAGCGCCATCTATACCAATACTTTTGTTTTCCCTCGGGAATATCAAATTTTTCTAGGATATAAAGTACCCTATTATTTAATCCGGACGTCTAACTTTACGTCTGCAAAAATTTAAAGCAATCGGTTTAGTAGTTACGGCGTGAAAGCGGAACAAACAAACAAACAAACTCATTTTCCGATTTATAATATTAGTAAGGATTTAGGTAAAAGTTCTAACATTAGTAAGGCAAGCCTGTTTTCGGAGTCGCAGAGAAACTAACGGGTAACCGGGGCTCCGGCTCGAAGTGCAGGAGAAGGAATGGGGTGGTTTATAGTCAGTAAGAGTCTGACACTCCCTTTTGCCTCGCCCAGGCGGGAGAAGTCATTCGATGATTTTCCCCCCTTAAAAAAAACGCCTGTTTACGAAGAGTTGATATAATCACATTGTAGGCAGGTAGGTAGGTACTTTATAATAATTATACATTAGCTTTTACCCGCGGCTTTGCCCGCGTATTCCTATTTTATCCCACGGGAGCATTTAATCGGGATAAAAACATATCACCTAAGTCAGCCCGTACCCTGCCTGTATAGGTACCAAATTTCATCAATCTCAGTTCAGTAGTTTCAGCGTGATTGACGGACAAACATCCAAACAAAGAAACTGTCACATATTTTATAATACTAGCCACAAGCCCCGGCTTCGCACGGGTGCAATATGTATGTATTATACATGTAAACCTTCCTCTTGAATCACTCTATCTATTAAAAAAAACCTCATCAAAATCCGTTGCGTAGTTTCAAAGATTTAAGCATACCTACAAAGGGACATAGGACAGAGAAAGCGACTTTGTTTTATACTATGTACCTAGTGAATTAGGTTATTATGTTATTAGTCTCGGGTATGTATCTATCTCCATGATAATATTAGGTAAGTTATTAAAATATTTCTGATAACCGTAAAATCCTACAATATTTTAGCGAAAATCCGAGAAATGAACCCGACAACCGCGTTTGACAGTCGTTTTTATGACCTCTCGATAAAATGAGGCAGTTCATCCATACACCAACCCATGCCTACCTATATACCTATTTTGTATGTTATTTAAATACCTACTTCATTATGTGTTTATGTCATTTTTAAAGAACATTCATTCAAATTTCGCAAATAAGAAATGGTCTTTACCGCGCCAAGACTTAAACGTTTCCATCATTTCACAAAAATACATTTAAACAAAATCAATTTTTAATTTTAATAGAACACGGGAACAAATACATAGGTAGGTATTTAAAAAAATGCACCTCTGCACTTACCATGCGAATAAATACCTACATAGGCACTAAGACGATTTTGGGTCAAGAAAGACGCCAAGGCAAAAATAAGGGTGGCAACAAACGAAAAAATACTACAACATTTTTTCTTAAACAGCTGTCAAATAACAAGTTTGAATTTGGAAAAAAAATATATAAGTGGGACATAAAGCTACTTTCGATGCGTTTTCATGAATTTCCTTTGTTCTCTACACACGATCGACTGAATTTCACCTTGGTCGGCGAACGCCATTGATAAATCCGACAAGTCGGGCAAATTGTCGACCCAACAGTTCGCCAACATCGAATACGTCATTCAAGCCTGCTGTCCTACTACCGGCTATCTGAATTTAGGTCACCTCGGGAAAAAAAACACGACAATATTTTTTTAACTAGCGTTTTCGGTGACAAAATTGGATTACATGAATATTGTTCGGTAAATTGGCTTCGAAAA